TTCATGCGATTAATCAATATAATTGAGCACACTCAAGACCCGCCATGCCCCTCAATTCTCGGTCACACTAGCACTCAACATGGCATTGCATAATCAAGCACAATTCAATCCCTAATTCAGCCACCACATGGCACAACCAATCACACATGGTAATTCACGAACAAATCACATATTAGTCATACAAGGCCCAATTAAACCATCAATTTGTAGCCACTAATCAGTCCACCCTAGGCCACTAAACCACTTCCAAATCATCACATTAGGCTATTAAAATCACCACAAATCAGCCACTACTCAGCCCACAAATTGCACTCACAATAATCCACATATTAGCCCAAACTAAGTCCACATTGAACAGCCATCAATCAGCCCATTCTAGGCCACCAAGTCACATTTAAATCATCACATTAAACCACCAAAATAGCCACAATATCAGCCCTAATCAACCCACACTAATTAACCCCTAAAATACCTTAATAACCCCTAAAACTTGTCTAAAGTGCACATAAGCCTAATTAAGGATTAGGGTTTTCACTCACTAGGTTTAAGGCTTTAAAAGGTGGGCTGATCGCGAGAGAAAACGGGCCAGACGATGGCTGGCTCGAGTCGGTTCAGCGGCGGCGCTCCGGCGATCCTCATAGCGGCGCTCGGCGGTGAACGGCGGCGATGGTGCTCCGGCTGAGCTGGGCGGCGAAGGGGGAAGATGGTGCTGGTGGTGGGACGGAATGAGAGGGAGAGAGAGACAGTCGGATGGTGAGGGTGAGCTGGTCGGCGGACGGGAGGGGCGAGCGGCCTTGGCGAGCGGCGGCGGTGTTCCGGCGAGCGGCGGCTTAGGGGCTGCACTGGCGGGGCTGCACACGGCCAAGGGGAAGAGAATGGGAGAGAGGGAGTTGGCGTGAGGGAGAAGGGAGAGGCCAGTTGGTGATGGTGAGAGTGAGAGTGAGAGAGAGAGAGAGATTGCAAGATTTTATCCAAATCGGTTGGTGGGGGTTGGTGGCCTACCCCACTCAAAATGTCTATCCTACCCACCTCACTCACAAGATGATCCAAGGGCCACAATTCAAAGACCAATCACATCCAATCAAGATCAATGGCCAAGATGGGTTCTAGACCAAAATATCCAAGGGCACTTTGGGGATTGAGCAAGAGTGATTGGGGCACCAATGTCCAATAAATTTTGGCACTAATAGGGCTGAATAAACCAATTAAAAACCTCTAAAATTCGGAATTAACACTTAGGGCTTAGGGGCAAATCGGTAATTTTTCGATTCCGGGCCGAAATTCCATTTTTCGACTATACCGATCCCAAATATAATTGGCCACACTAATACGACGTTGTCTTTGCAAAATAGTCGCGTACATCCATGAAATTCGACACTCAAGTCCGGATTCAATTCCACGATCAATTTCGCTCAAATGTGATTTTAGCGTCTCTTACTAACGGGCGGCTGTTTAGGGGTTACGCGTATCGACTTAGGATTACTCGAGTCGTGATGGCCTCGACTTCCAAGAGGACGCGAGGATTATCGCTAGTTCTGGGGGTCGTGATCGTTCGGAATAAGTTCGGGATTGTTTGCCACACGCACTCACGGTCGTGCGGAATCACCCGCGTTCCGATCGCACGTCGTTGGCCAAACCAAGTCCGTCACCCTCCTTGGATCGGCCCACATTGGCCCAAAATATTTCCTCGTCGTTTCTCGGAATCGGACTCGATTCGCGGTCGAGTTCTTAGGTCCACGTACCGCTTTCCTAGTTAGCCTTTCCCTATTGGTCAGTATCCCGAGAAGGATCCGTTCCGGGCGAGACTCACTAAAATGAAATGAGAGATACACATCCATTTCATTGATCACGAAAGTGGGTCGAATTCAGGATGCTACAACTCTTCCCCCCTTACAAAAATTTCGTCCTCGAAATTTACGACCTAAACCCGACTACTCAAACAAATGGGGGTGCTGGCGTCGCATTGCTTCTTCACTTTCCCAGGTGGCACCTTCTGTTCCATGATACTCCCATACTACTTTGACCATTGGGATCGGCTTGTTTCGCAGCACTCGGTCCTTTCTATCTTCAATCCTCATTGGCCTCTCCACATACGACACCCTGTCGTCCACGTCTATTTCTTCATATCTCAGCACGTGGGTCGGACCTGATTCATACTTTCTCAATATCGACACGTAGAACACGTTATGCACTTGAGACAAATTAGGCGGCAAGGCGAGTCTATAGGCCAGGTCTCCAATCTTTTCTAAAACCTCGAATGGACCTACATACCTCGGGCTTAGCTTTCCTTTCTTGCCAAATCGGGACAATCCTTTCATTGGCGACACCTTGAGAAATACATGATCACCAACTTAAAACTCCAAGGGTCTCCATCTCCGATCTACATAACTTTTCTGACGGCTCTGAGCTGTCTTTAACCTATCCCGAATTATCTCAACTGCCTCAACTGTTTGTTGTACCAACTCTGGACCCGTTATACTTCTTTCCCTAATTTCATCCCAGCACACTAGTCATGGCCACGGTTCAGGAACCGCCGGTTCCAGTTCGGAACCGGTGGTTCCGGTTCATGGCCATGTATGAACCAGCGGTTTCGGGCCGGTTCCGGTTCGAGGGGGAAGGAGGAGAAAAGGGGAGGAGGTGCAGGGTAACGAGGGGGGAGGAGGAGGGGGCATCGCCGGCTGCGGCCATGGACGGGGGCGACGGCGGCGGGGGTCAGATATGGGAAGACGGGGGGTGGACGGAGGAGAAAAAGGGAGGACCGGAGGAGGCGCAGGTGCAAGGGGTCAGATCTGGGGGTGGGAACGCTCCCCGGCCTGGAAAGAGAGGCGCTGGTGGTTCATGGCCTGGGTGTAGAGCTGGGAGAGGGAGTTGGCGGCACTGCCGAAGGAGGAGTAGAGGCTCCGGTCTACCTCGTCGAGGCGGGACGCGATGGACTTCCGCTTCTTCGCCATGGGCGGATCACCGGAGGGGGGAAAAGGGAGGAAGGTAGGGTTTTCCTCTCCGATCGAATTCGAACCGCGAAGAAAGAGAGAGAGAGAGAGAGAGAGAGAGAGAGAGAGAGAGAGAGAGAGGAGACGAGAGAGAAGATGGCGGAGGGGGAAGCTTGTAGGGAAAAAGGAAAAAAGTTTGGGGGATGCTACTGCTATAGACTGTAACAGCAATTAGTCTTTTTTTTTTTGGAACCGGCGGTTCCGGGCCGGTTCCAAAATTATTAGAACCGGAACCGGGCCCGTCGGCCACAGGCCGGTTCCGGTTCCGAACCGCGGGCCCGATCAACGGGCCGGTTCCGGGCCAAAACCGGCCCGTGGCCATGTCTGCAGCACACTGGTGTTCTGCACGCTCTACCATACAATGCCTCAAACGGTGCCATCTGAATACTCTGCTGGTAGCTGTTGTTGTAGGCAAACTCGACCAAGTACAACTGTTCTTTCCATCTACCTTGGAAGTCCAATACACATGCACGCAACATGTCCTTCAAGGTCTGGATCGTCCTTTCTGACTGGCCATCCATTTGCGGATGATATGCCGTACTAAACTGAAGCTTCGTCCCTAAGGCCACTTGCAGATTTTTCCAAAAATTGGCCGTAAATCTGGGATCACGGTCCGAAGTGATCATCACCGGTACTCCATGCAATCGGACAATCTGTCGCACATATAAATCTGCGTACCTTTCTAGCTCAAAATCCTTTCGTACTGTCAGGAAGTGCGCTGACTTAGTCAGTTTGTCCACTATCACCCAAATAGAATCGTGTCCTCTCTGGCTTCTCGGCAATTCCATCACGAAATCCATCGGAATATGCTCCCATTTCCACTCTGGGATTTCCAGAGGTCTCAAAAGTCCTCCAGGTTTACAATGCTGCGCCTTTACTTGCTGACAGGTCAGGCATTTTGCCACATGCTTGGCCACATCTGTTTTCATACCATTCCACCAATAGTGTTGTCGAAGGTTCTGGTACATCTTCGTGCTGCCCGGGTGAATGCTATAATTGCTCCTATGAGCCTCCGATAAAATCTCTTCCTTAAGCTCTATATCGTCGGGCACGCACAAACGTCCGCGGAACTTCAAGATCCCGTCCTCAGATACTTGGAAGTCCGACTTTCTCTTGGCGGCGTCCATTTCCACAATCTTTTGAATTTCTTGGTCCGTAGACTGTAAAGCCCTAACCTTGATTTGAATTTTTGGTTCAATTCTCAACGCGGCGAGTAGATTCGACACATGGCTTACCTCAAATTTAAACTCTGAATCTCTCAAGTTTTCCAATAAGGTCCACTCTTTGACCATCATGTGCACCATACTTGATTTCCGACTTAGCGCATCCGCTACCCGATTAGCCTTCCCAGGGTGATACAAAATGTCGCAGTCGTAGTCTTTGAGGAGTTCCATCCAACGACGCTGCCTCATATTCAACTCCTTCTGCGAAAACAGATACTTGAGGCTCTGATGATCCGTATAAATCTGAAACTTTTCGCCGCATAAATAGTGCCTCCAAATCTTGAGGGCGAAGATGATCGCAGCCAATTTCAAATCATGCGTCGGGTAATTTGCCTCGTGTGGTCTTAACTGACGCGACGTATACGCTACTACCTTTCGTGTTGCATCAATACACATCCAAGTTCTCTCAACGACGCATCACTGAAGACCTCAAATCCACTCGGTCCTGACGGGATGGTCAACACGGGCGCCATTGTCAACCTATGCTTTAGCTCCTGAAAGCTCCTTTCACACTTATCGTTCCATTCAAACTTCGTTTCCTTATTGAGCAATCGTGTAATTGGCGTAGCTATTGATGAGAATCCCTCTACAAAACGCCGGTAATATCCTGCCATGCCTAAGAAACTCCGGATCTCTGTTACTGACGTTGGCCTTGGCCACTTAGTCACTGCCTCAATCTTAGTCGGGTCTATGGAGATTCCATCTCCGGAAATTATGTGCCTAAGAAACGCTACGCGGTTGAGCCAAAACTCGCACTTACTGAACTTGGCGTAAAGTGCGTATTCTCTTAAGGTTCGTAGTACTTCTGCCAGATGTTCCTCATGCTCTTCTGGGCTCTTCGAGTATACCAAAATATCATTGGTAAAAACTATCACGAATCGATCCAAAAACTCCTTAAATACTCGATTCATCAAATCCATGAAGGCAGCTGGGGCATTGGTTAATCCGAAAGGCATCACTATGAACTCATGATACCCATATCTCGTCCTAAAGGCCGTCTTAGGAATATCCTCCTTCCGAATTCTCAATTGATGATACCCCGTCCGTAGATCGATCTTAGAAAACACTGAGGCTCATTGCAATTGATCGAACAAGTCGTCAATCCTCGGCAGTGGGTACTTATTCTTGACGGTCACCTGATTCAACTGCCGGTAGTCGATACACAATCTCAACGTTCCATCTTTCTTCCTTACAAACAGCACCGGCGCTCCCCATGGAGACGCACTTGGGCGGATAAATCCCTTGTCCAACAATTCCTGCATCTGGACCTTTAATTCCTTTAGTTCCGACAGGGACATCTGGTACGGTGCTTTTGAGATTAGCTCAGTTCCTGGGGCTAACTCGATTACAAATTCCACTTCTCTTTCTGGTGGCAAACCCGGCAATTCCTGAGAAAAGACTTCGGGAAAATTGCACACCACTGGTATCTCTTCCAACTTTGGTTCCGCAACTGTCGGATCGACCACATTCACCAAATATCCTTCACAACCCTCATCCAATAACTTGGTCACCTCAAGCGAAGAAATCCAAGGGAACGAGGTTCCTCCTCAGTTTCCCTGAAACTCAAATTTAGGATGTCCAATCGGATTGAATTGGATCACTCTGCTACTACAGTCCATTACCGCCTTTTGTTTAACTAACCAATCCATTCCAATAATCACATCAAAGTCGAATATGGCCAAAACTGCCAAATCTATCCTTTCTTCTCTACCCCCAATCACTATCTTACAATTAGAACATCCAAGCGAGACTAATACCTTATCATTCAGAGGGGTCGACACACACAACATAACCTCAAGCAGAATCGGCTCAATTCCAATCAATCTAACAAACTACTCTAAAATAAACGAGTGGGTAGCCTCCGGATCAAACAAGGCATACGCAGCATGATCACAGAGAGAGACCGTACCTGTGACCACGCCTGATGTGTCCTTCGCCTCCCTTCGCGCCATCGCATACACCCTTCCTTGCGCTGGCGGTCTGCCCTGAATAGCCGGCGGGGGATTCCTAGCCTGATTCCCGATCCGAAGCGGCTGAGCTTGCATTGGTGGTCCTGTTGGACGCAGATGAGGGCAATGTCTGATCTGATGGTCCATGCTCCCGCACTTAAAACAAGCCCCAAACCTGTTCTGCTGGTGGTTCGGCTTCCCGATGTTCTTCCTTACGGAAGGGACAAATCGCCTATTTCCCGCCATCAGCTTCTTCCCGAAGCGGCGGTTGTCCTTAATTGGGGCAAACCGCGACCTAGAAGCTGCTACCCTGTCCACTTGATCCCGCTTAATAGCCTGAGCTCTCTTATATAAGTCCTCATAAGTTCTCAAATTCACCGGAATCAACTGAGTGCGAATGTCGACTTTTAGTCCATCCCGAAACCTTTGCGCCTTGTCCTCAGGATTCTCTACCATCATTGGTGCAAACTTAGACAGTCTAGCAAACTTTGCCTCATACTGATCCACAGTCATTTGGCCTTGGCGGAGTCTTATAAACTCTGCTAGTTTCCTTTCCCTAGCACTCTCAGAGAAGAATTTTCCATAAAAGTTCTCAGAAAACACGACCCAAGTCTGAGCGACACCCTCAGGGAACACTCTTCCCCTAGTGGCCTTCCACCAATCACTAACATTATCTTGCAATTGATACACAACTAAGGTCACCTTCTTAGCCTCGGTTCACCCCAGTACCTCAAAGGCCTTCTCCAGCTCTTCCACCCAACATGGCGCGGCCTCGGGGTCACCCTTTCCATCAAACTTTAGCGGCTTTAACTTTAGGAACTGCTCTACCAGTTGGTGCATCAGCCTATTTACAACCACTGGGGCCTGCCCTTGATTGGCCTGGTTTCCATTAACAGTAGCACCAGCTGTGGCCTCAACAGCTTGGGCAATGGTGGCAGTCCTTTCTTGAGCCTGCCTTTTCACCACATTTCCGATCTCCTACATTGCCTGAATGACTCCATCAATCCTCGGGTCTCCTGTTCCTCGGCCCCTAGTGCTCGATTGCCCTCGATTTTCCCTTCCTCTACTCATCCTTATGGGTTTTCCTCACTACTCAACTACCTGCTATAATTCCACTCAGGAATTAGAGACTTAGGCCAAACTACACCAGTTTAAAGCCCTAGGCACAGAATCACAACAGCAATCACCTAGCAGGCAATCACAACGGCACGAAGTCTCAACCAAGAGATATGTGCACTTACCTCGGGTCCTGCTGCACCTGCACTTTACGGGTCATTTCAACAATCACTCAATCAATCAAGAAACCAAGCAGTCTGGAGGTACATGTAGCACGCAAGTCACCCTATTTGGCTACCCATGGTCATCGCTCCTTATCACTCCAGGCTTCGACCTAATTAGATCGAGCTGACCTTACTCTGATATCAAATCAATGGGGGATGTCACGCCCCGAACCCTACGAGCACGCGATCATCCCTCTGTGGTCGATTCAGGTGCGACGTCCCAGGACGCATGCACAGCGGAAGTAACACAACACCCGAACAATTTAAAACAACATGACCAAAGGAACAGTAGATACAATAAATACAACTGGCATTAATAACAAGGATTTACAATATCTATTGCCAGGCAATATACACCAACCAAAATGGATCAACATCCACTAACATAAAAAAAGGGTATATGGCTCGGGCGGTTAAGATACTAAACCTAGGAAGGGCACCTATCCAAAAAGTGTCGGCCCTACCCTACTATGGTCGAGGATAAATTCTAGGGCAATCAGTCCGAGTCGAATCCTAAAGACTCAGTCGAGTCATCAGATAACTCAGGCTCAGAATCCATCGAATCCGGCTCAGACTCGGCGTCCACTGACTCTCCCTCGGAATCATCCTCAGGTTCTAGCTCCTGTTCCATGGGCTCCGGCTTCGGCTCGATGTCGAACTCCCAGTCCATCGGCTCCTCTTCCTCGGACTCGGCATCCATCTCCACAATGACGGGCTGGTCGCCGAAATCCTACTCAGGCGTGGCAGCGGGGCTCACGACCTCTCCATCGGCGGCCTGCGGATCCGGCTGGCCTAATATGTCGAACGGGATGTCGAAGGTCCAAAGAGGTCCATGGGTGCCGAACTCGTCCCGAAAACACCATGCAAGATAGGGATGTGCCCGGAAATGCGGCCCGCCCTCATCGACCCATACTATATTGTAGTACCTAACATACGACTCCCCGTTCCCTACGAGGTGTACCGTCACCGATCGCTCTATGCGATACGGGATCCCAAAACGGAGTGGCGCATCCACCATCTCAAGGTCGGGGGTCTGAAAAGTGGGGTTTAAACAACAATGAGAATAAATCTCAGCGAGTAGGCCCCCTAAACCGAAACTAGGCCAACATGCACCTCCTGGACAAGCATCAACTAAACACACAGTTGATCAATCACACGACTTAGGCCCTTAGGCCCAAATCAAGCATATAGTGACCTTGCAGGTTAGGCACATAATAATAATAATACTATGCCCAGCAATGCACATACACATGTCAATTGGTCACTGTCACATGCCACACACATATTTGCACTCGTTTATGCACTCTTCGCACACTTGCCAATGTCATGCTTATGCTTGCACAATTCAATGCACATTTGCACACTTGCACACGTGCCAACTTTCCATTTTCCACCGACTCGCGTTAAACGCATCAGGTCCGACCCTCATAACACGCATCAGGTCTATCACTTTTCGATCGATTTTCGGCTCGCGTTAAACGCATCAGGCTCATGACATAACCCGCGTGTGGGATGCCTCAGGTTGGCCATCTTCCGGTAATCCGGGCATCGTCCCACGTTAAACGCCTCAGGATGGGTTCATTACCCCGCGTAAATAACGCCTCAGGGTTTATGTGATCATACGAGCACAATCCACCAATTATTATCTGAATCTCGCGTAACACGCATCAGGGCGATTTAGGTGATCACATGCTCATGCCAATCGTGCACATTCACATTATGCATATGTTATGCCAATGCTTGATATGCACAAATTACAGCCATAACAATCACACTCGGGCACTCAATTTAAACTAGCCACAAGTTCAATCTATGCCACGACATGCTTAATTCACCTCTTAGCACGCCCAATGAATCAATGAATTCAAAACAGCCATCACACATACTTGGCATCCGAATTCATACGATTAATCAATATAATTGAGCACACTCAAGGCCCGCCATGCCCCTCAATTCTCGGTCACACTAGCACTCAATATGGCATTGCATAATCAAGCACAATTCAATCCCCAATTCAGCCACCACATGGCCCAACCAATCACACATGGCAATTCACGAACAAATCACATATTAGTCGTACAAGGCCCAATTAAACCATCAATTGGCAGCCACTAATCAGTCCACCCTAGGCCACTAAGCCACTACCAAATCATCACATTAGGCTATTAAAATCACCACAAATCAGCCACTACTCAGCCCACAAATTGCACTCACAATAATCCACATATTAGCCCAAACTAAGTCCACATTGAACAGCCATCAACCAGCCCATTCTAGGCCACCTAGTCACATTTAAATCATCACATTAAACCACCAAAACAACCACAATATCAGCCCTAATCAGCCCATATTAATTAACCCCTAAAATACCCTAATAACCCCTAAAACTTATCTAAAGTGCACATAAGCCTAATTAAGGGTTAGGATTTCCACTCACTAGGTTTAAGGCTTCAAAAGGTGGGCTGATCGCGAGAGAAAACGGGCCGGACGATGGCTGGCTCGCGCCGGTTCAGCGGCGGCGCTCCGGCGATCCTCATGGCAGTGCTCGACGGTGAACGGCGGCGGTGGTGCTCCGGCTGAGCTGGGCGGTGAAGGGGGAAGATGGTACTGGTGGTGGGACGGAATGAGAGGGAGAGAGAGATGGTCGGATGGTGAGGGTGAGCTGGTCGGCGGACGGGAGGGGCGAGCGGCCTTGGCAAGCGGCGGCGGCGTTCCAGCGAGCGGCGGCTTAGGGGCTGCACTGGCGGGGCTGCATACGGCCAAGGGGAAGAGAATGGGAGAGAGGGAGTTGGCGTGAGGGAGAAGGAAGAGGTCGGTTGGTGATGGTAAGGGTGAGAGTGAGAGTGAGAGGAGAGAGAGAGAGAGATTGCAAGATTTTATCCAAATGGGTTGGTGGGGGTTGGTCGCCTACCCCACTCAAATTGTCTATCCTACCCACCCCACTCATAAGATGATCTAAGGGCCACAATTCAAAGCCCAATCAAATCCATCCAAGATCAAGGGCCAAGATTCAATCTAGCACAAAATATCTAGGGGCACTTTGGGGATTGAGCAAGAGTGATGGGGGCACCAATGTCCAATAAATTTTGGCACTAATAGGGCTGAATAAACCAATTAAAAACCTCTAAAATTCGGAATTAACACTTAGGGCTTAGGGGCAAATCGGTAATTTTTCGATTCCGGGCCGAAATTCCATTTTTCGACTATACCGATCCCAAATACAATTGGCCACACTAATACGACGTTGTCCTTGCAAAATAGTCGCGTACATCCATGAAATTCGACACTCAAGTCCGGATTCAATTCCACGATCAATTTCGCTCAAATGCGATTTTAACGTCTCTTACTAACGGGCGGCTGTTTAGGGGTTACGCGTATCGACTTAGGATTACTCGAGTCGTGATGGTCTCGACTTCCAAGAGGATGCGAGGATTATTGCTAGTTCCGGGGGTCGCGATCGTTCGGAATAAGTTCGGGATTGTTTGCTACACGCACTCTCGGTCGTGCGGAATCACCCGCGTTCTGATCGCACGTCGTTGGCCAAACCAAATCCGTCACCCTCCTTAGATCGGCCCACATTGGCCCAAAATATTTCCTCGTCGTTTCTCGGAATCGGACTCGATTCGCGGTTGAGTTCTTAGGTCCACGTACCGTTTTCCTAGTTAGCCTTTCCCTATTGGTCAGTATCCCGAGAAGGATCCGTTCCGGGTGAGACTCGCTAAAATGAAATGAGAGATACACATCTATTTCATTGATCACGAAAGTGGATCGAATTCAGGATGTTACAATACCGAACTTCAATTCGAACATCAACTGGGGCAACGCCATTCTCTTTGGTTTATGGAATGGAAGTTGTATTACCTGTGGAAGTGAAGATTCCTTCGCTAAGAGTGCTACCTCAATTAAAACTTTCTGAAGCTAAATGGACCCAACAGAGATACGAACAACTCGACATGATTGATGAGAAGAGGTTGAGGGCCATCTGTCATGGCAAGCCTCTTAGAAGAGAGTTGCTAAATCTTTCAATCGGAAAGTTAAACCAAGACATTTTGAAATAGAGGATCTTGTGGTAAAGAAGACCATCCCCAATAACTCATATCCTCATGGGAAATTCACCCCAAATTATGAAGGCCCGTATGTTGTCAAGAAAGTCCTACCGGGAGGAGCATTGATTCTTGTAGACATGGATTGAACAGAATTGGCTCATCCTGTATATTTAGACGCGGTCAAAATATTCTACTCATGAATGAAATGAAAAACTGGATTGAACATTTCAAAAGATGATTTGGGCCACTTTAGAATGTTTGCATACCATGCATATCATGTATTTCATGCGCATGTTTGTTCATTTTGTAGGATGAAGCCCAAAAGAATTCAAGATGATATGAGATCTTAGATTATCTAATAGAGTTGGTAAAAGGTAAAGGAACGTGTCGTTCCAATTTATTCTCTTTGATGTTGTTCATTAACATATTCTTCATTTTCATTATCCCCAGGGAGTTCAGAGGAAGGAAACTGCGAAAAACAAATCCCAAATGGAATCAAACTAGAAGCACACAAGAAAGTTGGCGGTATTGTTCTAATTGTTAATAAGGATTGTGCGAATGAATTCTTACACTCGATTCTTAATCTTTGCGGGATTTCCACCAAGTTGAAAAGGGATCCCATCAAGCCGATCAGGTAAGTATCCCTATCTCTTGAATTTAAGTCCTAAAAGTTTACTTTTCTAAAGGATTGACTTTTCATCCCCAAGCGGTTAACATGAAGTCAAAAGAAATCATTTCAAAAATCATCTTAAAGAGTTTCAATCAAAAAGTTTGAACATGCATTCTTTGAGCATGCGTTATACATCAGAATTTCCCAAAGAGGATGATTTGACAAAAAGCTCTTGAAAGATTCAAAGAAAATGTTTAGATGAAATCAAATAGAAAAAAACCTTCAAATGATGAAAGGTAAGCCATATCCAAACACATCCTGTAAACACTTGAGAGAAACAAAAGAGTGGATTTCAGAAGTGAGAGATAACTTCATCCGAAGGAGATAGGGGGTATTTGCAATGATTACATGGATTGAAATGATAAAAGGCAATCATTTCACTATCCTAAACACATGATTATCCCTTGCAAACCAAATTTGAGCCTAAAAGATGGAAAAGTTTTTTAAAACAACCCTACTAAGAACCACCTCACATTGGGGCAAATTATGAGGTTCGTGGTTGACATTTTTGGAGAAAATGATCAAGAAAGATTCTATTGCATACACTTGCATCAATATTTTTGTGATGGCTTCAGATGGAATTATATGAAAGCTCAAAAACATCCCAAAAGGAAGAAGAGCTTTTCATTCTTCATTCCAAACACATAATCCTTTGCAAAGCCCAATTGAGCTTGAATATTCATTTCAAACCCAAATTGATAACCATCTCCTCACATTGGGGCAGAGCATGTGATCCATTTCAGACTGATAATATCAAAAAGCATGACAAAGAGTTCCTAGAGCTCAAAAAGGGTCAAAAGCCAAAAGAATCAAAAGTGTGGATGCAATAAGAGTTAGGGACATGAAAAAGTAGTGTACCTGATAAAAGCAAGATCGATGCCCAGTGAAAAATGAGCAAAGAAAAGAAAAGAAGAAAAAGAAGAGTGTTCAAAAGAGCGGTGTCAAAAAACAACAACAAAAACGAAGACAAAAGATGTGGAAAGA